TTATTCACTGTGAGTAATCAGAAGCTGGGTGTAATTAGGAAATGAAAGGAATTATTACATCAAGATTACTTCAACTGCTCAGTGCTTCACAGGAAGATAAAACATGGCTAGTGACTGTCCTAAGACAATCTGAAGAGCCACTTTAGACATAAGAAGAAGAAATCCTCTCCAGGAAGGCTCCGAAATCTGTCACTCATCATCTTCAGCAGCCCAAAGGAATTGAGAACCAAGGCTGTACGTTCTCCTTTTGGAAGGCTTAATCCACACGTTTCATTGACACACTGCTATTATCAAAGCCTGAAACGTTCGTGTATTATTATTTGCATTAAATAAAACACAGTGGTAAACACTTCATTCTTTTCACAAATTCTGTTTCCATCAGCTCAACTATTATTGTTTTCTTCTTGTCAAGTTTCAGCAAATAGCCTGCTAAAAAGCTATCTGCAACTTAATTAAAATACACATTATTAATGTCATGTTTGTATGAAAAGTCTTTGGCAAAATAAGTAGCCTCTAGCTTTTGAAGCAATTGCAATTAAGTCTGTCAATACACACTAGTCGTAGAAATGCATGATGAAAACAAGACTAAGTGAAGCAATTTGACCTGTTTCAACCTCCTCCGCATAAAATACCATTTCACATAATATTTCATCTAGAAAACCACCCTTGGATTAATTACCAACAACTGTCAGTTGCACAACTGAATGTAAAACCAAAGGTGCTAGGTAATTTAAGCTAATTTTACTTAAACAAAATGGGTAAAATCCTGTCTTGATACATGGTACCCTTTACTACTAATTTCAATAAAACTTGATTTTCTTTGGATTACAGAAGAAATGCCAATTTAAATGCAGTAGAGGAGTGGCCATTGCATTCTCAGGTGAAAGCACCCCAGAACTCCAAGACTCACACTTTTGAAATGTCTTTTGGGGTTAAAAGTTCCCAATGCCACCCCTTACTTTTATAAATCTTCTCTGCAGTTCTGTAAGGAGAAGAGGTAGCTATTTTCCCCGGATGCTTAACCATCATTTTTGTATGATGATAATAGACTTATTTTCAAGGTTCCAGCAGACAGCACTGCCTGTAGTAGCAAAGAAGTTTAGCAACCATATCTGCAGAGGTCACTGTGAGAGGGAAGGTGCAGAACCACCCTGTAAGCTCCTGGCATGGAAACGCAAGGGAACATGAGCACAGTGAGATGCACAGCCATCCTGCTGAACACACGTGACTGACAAGCCTGTGGAAAAGTTCTTCATCCTCTGTCCTCGCGAATATCAACACAACTTCATGTTTTTGAACTACATAAAATAGTAAATATTACTTAAAATGCAATTATTATGCAGTTGGGAGTGATAAAACATTAAGCTGCTGGCAGAAAGGCATTTAAGTAGAACATTTCAATGCAGATTCAGTTATTTTGTTTTTATTTTTCAAATAAAAGGTGCTACTTTTGCTGCTGAGCTTTTGTTATTTTGAATTTCCATATTGATCTCAGAAGAAACACACATCAAAGCACCTACTTTTCCCAGGGATGGAAATCCCAAGAGCCAATCTGCTCCTCCGTTAGTAAATGCATATCATAATAAATGCACAGGCACTAAGTCTGGATTGCCTGCTAATTTTTAGTTGATTTAATACTGCCTGTATCTCACATTTACTACACATATCTATCAGAGACCTCTCAGACCTTGTGACCAATTACATTTTTATTCACTGTCATCCCTTTGTTGAGACTTAAGGAAAAAAGCATCTATATTTAAGACTCTCTGATTTCTTCAGCAAAATAATAACTGTAGAAATTGTTTTCACATCTGCAAATCAAAAACTTGTTACTATGCAATGTTTGGACTCACTGTAAGACCAGAAGCAGATCACTGTACCCAACCTCACTAAGTAGCCACACTAGCAAGATGTTATTAACAATCATAACCATGAGCGTTTAAACAGTGTTAGAAATAAAATGCAGGATTTTCTACTTAGTAAAGTGTCTTGTAATTCCGTCAGCACTTCTTTCAAATGTTCTCAGGCTCCAGTCCTGCCTACACTATAATTTCTATCAATGTTATCTCTGGTAGACACCACAGGACTTGGACTCCCCAATGCAGTTACAGGCAGACGCAAAGTGATAACGACATTCCAGGTACCTGCTGTAACAACCAACATGCAGAGTTCTGAGAAACTGCGAGTACGACGAGATGTGAGGAACTTGGGAAAGGCATGATCTCTTCACAGTTTGGCGTGACAGTAATAAACAAAAAGATTTTGTATTCCCTGATTTATGAGAGTTCAGGAACAAGGAAAACACCCACTAAATACTACCTTATGAAACAAACTCACAAAAGCTCAAAGTATGCATTTTGCCTCACTGTTTTTTCCAAGAACAAACTTCTAGCACATTATATGCTATTCCGGACCCACAATGACATAACTCTTGTTGATTTCAAAGTCACTGCATTAGATATAATTTATTAAATGTTCAAAAACCATTTGATGGTATGACCATACTAAAAATTTGCAAATACAGAACAGGCTTATGGAGTTAGAAACAAATTAATTCCTCAGATACCTCTTAACAGATTAAAATCAGTGCCTTTGTAGTTCACAGTTGCAATGCTGGTCAATGCTTTTATAATATGAATGAGGTGGCAGGCCATTTGATAATTAAAGATAAGGAGATCTTTGAGAAAGATGAGACCTTGTTTAGGTCTTTTTATTATGCTTCATCTTTACATTCAGTCGTGAGGCCAGAACCACTTGGAAATGTGGCAACTTGTATTTGTGGAAAACAGAAGTATGCATAGTATGAAAATTAAAGTAGATTAACGTAAATAAAGACTGAAAAATTAATCTTTCATTGACTGTAGAAGATTAAGCTAAGATGCTACAATTTCAAGTAGTAAAGAGACAGAATTCATTTGATGATTTCCATTAGTCAAGTATTTACACGTGATCTTAAATAACAGTAAATTAGCAATGACAATTTCTGTAATTCAAACACGGTAAAATGTAAGAGTTTAATGTATACGACACATCTTAATATTGCTTGTTTCTCACTTAAAATTTTTTTTGATTGACATTTTGTTATAAGTAGCTAATGCATATACCCATAATGAAGCATAAAGTTTTCCCTCTCTTAGGAATTCCATTTAACTGTAAGAGTCGTTAAAAACAACTCCCAAATAATATTACATCGGTAAAGAAAGTCATCTTAAATCAAACAAAACGAAATATTCAAGCACAATGTAACTATCAAAGACCAGTTTCAATGAGCTGCCCCCGATTACCATACGGGTACATAATTTTACCTTCACTGTTCCTAAGTAAGTGCTGAGAACAAAAAACTCTGCCTGCAGAAGATGGTGTCAAGGAAAATACTGCATATCCCAAACACAAGTTCAGTAGTCCCTTCAAAAGAATCCTTGAAAAGAGACTTTGGATATCTCTTTTTCCCCAGATTGCCTGGTTACTGATGGCAAGTTACTTGTGAAAGATGGGCTATAACTTTAAAAGTTTCGTTTTCACTGGTAAGAAAATGTAGAAAAGCTTTCAGAAGAAATCTAGATTTTCACCTTTATTAAATGCTCCCTTCAAACATATATTCACAGGAAGATGAATTCCAAACCATTTCCATGCCTTGAAAAACTTATATTAAACATTTTTCACCCTGCCAGAGGAGCAATGCAAATAATATATATCTTGCAGAATATCTGAATGGCCAGACATCCACCTTTGCTGAAGTATATATGTGGCTCCCATAGAGAATAATGCACTTTTTCACATTCTAAAACTGTTCACATATCCTGATAATGTATAAGTTCAACAAATACTTTTTATGGAATAAAATATAATCTTAATATTTCCTAAAAAGAAGACAGTAAAATTACTATTTCAGACTAAGGAGTGTCCTTACTGAAGTGATATTTGAGATGAGAAAACTTCCCCCCGTCTCATAGCTATCAATCTATTTTTCTGACAGTGTTCAAAGCTATCAAGTCATAATGTCCATTCTAACAGGGAACTATGACATTACACTAAAAAACTTCACCAAAGTGCTGGTTTCATAAACTAATGAAAAACTTATTAAAAACATTTTATAAAAACTCTTTTAGAACCTAGGCGTAGGCACAAAAGTTACAGTCGATTAACACATAACTGATTTTTTTTTTGACACTATTTCAGTGTCACTGTAACAACAAACATCAGGTAGAAAAATCTCTCACAATAATGAACATGCTGAAAAGAAAGGGAGACTGGACTAAAAGTTTATATATTGTTTATATGGATGTATTTACATCTTCAAACCTCTTCCCACACATATAGAATGGTCAAGCTCACATGCCCGTGTGATCTCTTGTGTAGTTAGAGTGGCAACGTTGTACAAATCCGAAGGAGACAATATCACTGTTCTCTGAATTATTCTCATCATTCAGAAGATGTAAGCAGGGTTTTATTTGGTACAGCATTTATGTGAGAAAGCAAGGAATGACTAAGTTTTATAGAGAATTGCAAGAAATACGTAATGTTTGGCTTATGCATCAATTTAAATCCAGCATTAATTGTTTACATCTTCAGATTCAAAACAAATCTAACAACAAGCTTTCAAGTATCTTGAATAAACTCAATTTCTTCTTCATCTCAAGGGAAGAAATAGCTTTGAGTTTTTGACTAGTTTATACATTGCATCATAATTTTATCTAGCCTACACAAGTTTAATGCATTCTCATACTTCCAGAAGCATTGTACATCTCTTATTCTCAGTACGCAACTCACCAGAACGAGGGCAGAATGGGATCAAACACTCCTTGGGCTGCAAAACGCTTAACTATTTTGAATAGTATGGTATTCATTGGATTAAAAAGAACTCTGAAATTTAATTCTTCCTTACAAGTGAAGGAAAACAGACAGTGTTTGGTTCTGTGTTTTCTGAGATGTACTTAAAAGCTTTCAAAAGCAACGTTCCCGAAAACCTTGAGGTTCAAAAAAAGAAAAAAGATACTTACGTTGTGGTGAATGACAAGAAACAAGACTCACTCTGCCCACAAAGAGAGGCTTCTGGCTAGAGGCAACAGGCTGCAAGAAAAGGAAACTGAACTTTAATTTGCTACACTGGACACTGTTCCTAGTGAAAACTTTTTCAAACTCCTTCATAAGCAGGTGGTGACTCAACAAATGACAGAGCTGTTGTCAGCATTCCAAACATTCTAGACCACGTACTATATAATTGTTATGATGTTTTCATAATTCAAGGTAAGCAGGGCTAAATCTGGATTGTTTTTTCTATTTAACTCTCTGCTGTGACTGACCTTCTGATTACATTCGCTGCAGTAAGTTTCCCATTAATATTAAATGATACCCAAAATACTACCTCTGAACACCAGAGTTAGTTTTCCATGGGTTCTTGATGACTTTTGTTCTCCAGTTATTTACTTAGCCTACTAACACAGAGATACCCAAAACCAATATCATAACCAGCCAACCAGTTTCAAAACTGGCTGAATTTTAATTATATGAAGCATCACAGTACTCAGATGATATAGACAAAAAACCCTTATTTGTTTCTTGTTGTTAGTCTTGCCTCATCGATATGTTGACTATTAACAGCATTTCCCAGTCACAAAAAAAAAGTTATTTTCTTTTAATGGGAGTTTAAAATGTCGATTTTTGAGAAGTTACAAAGCCCAGTTTCCAAATCACCATGTGATGTTTCTGATGCTTATTAAGAATAAAACTATTACAAAGAAAACTAATTAACTTTCAGGTTAATAAGCAAGAGTCTTTCTCCTCCACATGGAAACCTGTTTTTGGAATTTATCACTGATATTTCTAAACCTCTGTCAAATATTGAAAAATGGGCAACCAAAGAGAAGCAGAAATGAGTCTAACCAAAACGCTCAGTTTCAGGAGAAGCAGTGATGAAGTCCTTAAATTTTTATTCTTCCTTTCATAGTAGGAAAGAAAGTATAATTCATCAATCAGATAATACTGCAGAGAAAAAATTATTCAATATTCTCAAGACCCTCCTACAAATTTTCAATCAACAAATAAACACACACACACACGATCGCATGAACAGACACCATGATGCTGCTTCAGAAGGAAGTCATAATACTGCAGTCAAGTATTCCGTGAGCCTTTTTACCACACAGAATTCAGTAGATACATGCAAGTGTATAGAGAGAAAAGGTGTCAACAAAATGCTTATGCGTGCACATGGAGAAATAAGGACAGGTGGAGACGTGCTTAGAAGAGTGTTGGGAAGCCTTCCCATGGGCAGTCCCCAGCAGAAGGGTGATGGTAGTGGAGTGTCCCCATTTTGTACACGCACGTTTATCACTATCAAATGCCCGTTCTGCACACAAACCAGTAAGGCAATTTCTGTACTACATGAGAAACTTTAAGCATTTTAACACTTTCAACATGCAAGTTGAAATCTGAAGTTTTCCACAAGTCAATAGATTGGATTTCACAAACAACATGGTGTACAAAGCATATGCAGAAGTGCAAGCAAATAAGTGACATGTTGAATTGCCTTAAGAATATTCACTGGCTAATTTTATTTTAGAGGAATAAAAGGTTAAGCCTCCGATACCCATGAGATATCTACCTTCATCACTGACAAGAAACATGAATCAAAGAACTGCTTAGCTTGAAAGAAATTTGGGTCAGAAGTAGGGGGGAAAATATATCAAAAAAGATAGCTCATTCAACATCCAGTCAACAGTACCTCACACCCTAATGCCTTCAAAAAAAGTAATAAATCTAAGTATGGGATGCTGTAGACTTATTTCAGAGAAAACCCTTGGCTCAGTACTGATACATTAAAGTAATATTTCTGAAATTATTTATGCTTTCTTTTAAAGGAATAAGCTACACCTTAGTAATAGTATACAAAGAACTCTCTGTTGTGTATTCTCTGTTGTGTATTTCCTGTATGTGGTAAAAATGCCAGGACACAGCCTTTTAGAAAATCCTTGCAAGCCAAGTACCTCCGTCAAAATTATCATTGTGTTTAGGTTTTGGACAAGCAAATATTTTCATAATAACCTTAAACCAATTGATTTTCTCCATTTAAGAATCAGGAACATAGATGTGTTTTTTGTAGTAGACCTTAGGCACTGAATCATGATTAGAGAATCAAGCAAGCGTCAAAATGTTCACAGTACCACAAGCTATTTTATTCTCTGCTTCTGATTCCTGGACAGTTATTACTTTTGACAACGAATTATAGAGAAATATTCCTCCAGGTATTTTAAATGTAATGAGACATTCATTATTAACAGAATTTTTTACCTTGCTGAGAGTGTTGTGTCAGAAAGTACCTTTCAGGGAGCTTGAGGGAAGAGAGTGAGGCAGGCTGCTGGACACCGTATGCTTTGCCAGAGGTTTAAAAGATCATCCAGCTCTATTTTTTTAGATTCATTATTTATTTCAGTTTTTTTAATTTTTTGTGGCTGCCAAACATTTTCTCATTTTACAAAATAATCTACAGAAATAGTTGGTCAAAAAGCTTGCTCTGACATTGACAAGTAAGCTTGTTCCTTCACAGATGAATACATACACTTTGCACACTCCTCTACTTTTTTCTATTTTGTAGCATATTGCAGGTCATAATTTCAATGAAAGACTGAAGGTCGTATCAAATTATTTTTAATTTATTTTCATATCTAACTTGCCTAAGGCCAGTAAGAAATTAAAAATATATAGAGATGTTTCAAGTATTTAGTAATACATTTTTTGCCCTTACTATTGTTATCAAGGCTTAGTTGTGAGAACACAAAGGAGGAGTGACTTACCACTCCATCTGACGGATACAGGACTCTTCCAAAACAGCTCTAAGTTTAGTTGATTCACTTTGACTATGCAACAACAATTTTGATAGAGGAGGCACAAGCGAGAACCAAGTAATCTGAGAAAACATCAGGTTCTTTTACAAGAAGAAATTGTAGCCTGATACATAACATCTCATGATTTGATGATAAATTTTATTTACGCCAAGTGTAGGCATTGGATCATTTATGTGACTAATATTGAAAAATGAAACCAACTGCACTTGGGGTGAATGCATTAGAGCCTCACTCTAAATAGTTGGACGGAGCGGTTCTCTGCAAGTTAGTTAATAACACTGTCAGTAAACTGTACTCTAAATCCGAAGTATTGTTTTCCAGCTGTTGGTGGTAAACAGTTCTGGAAAACAGTTTTAATTATCTTGAAATTGAGATTTTGGGGTATAAAAAAGCCATTAAAATCAAATGCCTTATGTTTCTTACAGCTTTTATAAGGTGATCTTGTTCTTCAATCTGGAAAGTTTTCCCATTCATAACATAGCAGATACATTTGACCCTGTTCCTATTACAAATAGGAGTTGAATATAACTGATTTAATTTCAAATCAGTATAGCTTTCCACAGGAGACAATGTCGGGATGGGTTTTCCCTTGCTATTGCTTCTGCAATAGTAGAAGCAATTTAAGTCACTCAAATCCAGAGCTCTATATCCTGATATACCTTGATACCTTCATAGCAGAACAGTTGATTAAAAAAAAAAAATGTATATATATATAGTATTTCAAGATTTCAAGATTGTCAAAGCCACTTGCAGTGCACAAGGCTGTCAGACATCTCATCATAATGAACACGATTATGGTCCTTTTTCCACTATCACTTTGTAATAGAAAAATTGAATATCACAAATAAGAAATCTTCAATTTATAGTACATTATTTACAGCTATACAGATTTATGCAGTAATATCATAAAACTGAAACATCTATTTTACCCTTGAAATGCATTTTGATTCCTGTTTTAGAAAGAAGTTAAACAGCTGTTTCATCCAATACCTGTTGATATTAAAGCTCTGGAACATTTAAAGTGTACAGTAACATTTATGATTGAGCACCACTCTACAAAATAAAGGAAGAAGGAGCACAAAATAACGCAATACTGAAAAATAAAAATAAAAAGTACCATCACACGTGTTACAAGGAAGTGGAGGGGAGTAAGCCTTGGAAGTCACTACAGATAAGTGGTCTAAAAATACAGTCTGATCTTTTATAGATCGAGATGACGTTTTTATTAGACTGACAGGACTGGAAAAAGCACGATTTCTGGCATGCAAGTAGTTGTTAAAATCTGAAACAAAAGAAGAAAATTAAAAAGTGAAATGTAATTAAGACATTGAGATCAATAAGTCTAAGTTTCATTAAATATGTATCAAACTATCAAGGAAAAGAGGAAGGTGTGCTTGGGGAGTCAGAGACTGATCAGGGAGGAGAGGTAAGAGGTCATTGGCTTCCAGGGGATAGAGCTAGATATAATTTATACCTTGTGGACAAATGTGACCTTAATAGTAGATGCGAGTGGGCAGGGGATTGGGACTTGCAGGTGATGGACCAGTAAAACACAATTTCCAGTGAACCCGTGGTTTTTGATACCTACCAAGTTATGAATCCAAATTGCCAGACTTTGAGAAGTATTTTGTAGGTCATTCTCTAATTAAGTCAGAGCAGTTTCTTCCAACCTGAATTTTGCTTTGAAGTTTACTGTTTCTGTTTCAGAACTGAAGAACTACTTACGTGCCCAAGAGCTTATCTGCTCTTTTTTTTTCCAGCTATACTTAGTTTAATTAAAGACATTACCCCACCTGTAAATCTGCTCCTAATTAGCAGCTTCGTGGATTTGCTGATGGCAATTGCAAGAGTGGATCATTCCACTGCTATCAAACCAACAGGGAATTAAACTAAACCTGCTGACATGTCACTTCTTCATTTAAAAGATGCAGTAACACATTTCCCTTCCTAACAAGGCTAAGACAGAAAATTCTGCCCTACAAGAACATAATGTTCCTATGAGATTCAAAGAGATCAGCCCTCTTATGTTGTAGTGGCTGCAGAACAAAGAGCATTGTAGCTGAAAAATCGCTAAGTTTCTCTGACTTGCAGGTGCCCCAAACAAAGAAGAGATGAGACAGAAGAACTAACATCTGGAAAGAAATAAATTGAAGCTGGTCTCGCTGAAGAATAACCTGCTGTTAGCAGAATGGAACTGGACATAAAACAGTAATGTTGGAATAGACAAAGTGAGAGTAAGTGTTGAGTTGATTGGTATACTGTCAAAGTGAGCACATCTCCATAGTCAGTATGTATTCCCTACAGAATATACACTGAGATGTCAGTCACAGACTTCTCTCACTCTTGGGATTTGAACATTTCAATTGAAGTTTGTATCTCCACTTTAAAGCCAAAGCCAGAAGACTCAAATGGCAAACCATGCAGATGGGACATAACAAGTGATGCAAAAAATAACAAGTGAATTGCTTGTTGTAGCGTTGTGTGCTTAAAGACTTATGCAGAACGTAAAACAAGAAGAGAGGCTGTGGAGCTCACCTAAGAAACTGCCATGAAAAAAACTTTTTCCACCCACTCTCTAAAGAGAAGTAAATCTATTATTGGGGACCAGCACTTCCAAAACTTTAAATGAGATTCCAGGTGCTCTCAAACTTTCTGTTCTCACATACCACTTGTTTTCACTACATCAGTAGAGGGTGAGAAAGGCATCATACAGATGCTCAGTTGTGAAACCTCAAAATAAGAGCGATATTAAGCTTCACAAATACTTTTAAGCAGTTGTACAGAAGATAACAAAGACTTGACCTACTACTTTATTGTGGAGGGGAAAAAAAGTTAAGCATTCAAACAGTAAAAAGTATATGTTCAAGAGCACAGAGTGCAACCAAGCAGCTAAAACAGTCTAAACTAAACCCCTTCTGAAAAATCACAACAGGTGTGCACAGCAAAAGACATCACTGAGAAGACCAATAAATAAAGCAGCTCGTGTTTCAATAAGTGCCTCTTACAACGTGGTGTATTAAATCTGAGTCCTTGCACAGTGCAACAGAAAGAGACCATGTTCTCCCCACACAACTGCCATGTACTCCGAGTTCAACAAGTCAAATAATCATCGTAGCAATTTGGAAGTTTACTACAAACTCAATCTCACGAGTCACAGGCTCAGAAGACTTACTAAAAACAGCCCATATCTCTTTTTGGCATCGTAAAAGGAATTGTACAAAGCGTCCTCTTGGCCACAGAGCATGTGGAAGGATAGCTCCCAAACTCATCTATCAGTGATGCTTCCCATATGCCATCTATTTGTTTTTTTTTATCTAATACAATAAATAGTAGATCTGTGCATTAGTTCTTATTTTCAGATGTTTTTAAGTCCTTAACTTAATTATCCTTAATTATGGATCTAATTGTGAAAGTATTGCTTGTGCTGCCATTTCTTCTGATAGTGTTTCTTGAATTAAAAAAAAAAAAAATTAAACTCTTCATTAAAATTCAATTTGTGTATTACTGGGTCAACAATGGCTCATCCTCAAACACAAACTCTGAAACCTGATGTACTATAATTTCTCTAACATCCAGATTCAGACAATACAATCTGGATGCATCATTTCTTTCAGCATTTGCGAGTATGGGAGAGCTGTGCATTCTTTTTCTCTTAATAATAAACACATCATATCAAGCTTTTGAAATGGCTGAAGAAACTTGTTGTAGAATCCAGTGATTCCAGAGTAAGAGTTGATAATACTGACTTAGAATATTAGAGTAGTTTGAAAAAAGAGAAGGAAAAAATAATAACCTATGATTACAGTCCTCACTTGTCACACATGCATTATATGAAACACCAAACACCTTTGATTATTAGGTTAAACAAAAAGAAGCACAGTAACCTCATCTGTTCAGGCTCTCTATTAAAAATACCATTGAAACAAAACAGATGAAATAAAACACAGAAGATGATTGGATAAAAGCAATACAAGTGATAAAAAATACTCATTTCAATTGGAAATATGGAGCTTCTCTGCCAGTTTCTTTCCTCCCATAAGAATGATTATTTAGTATTTTATAAGACAGATGAAAGCCAGGTGATTCTGTTATCTGTTCTCTTCTGGAGGAAGAGCTGAGGCCAACTGGGCACATTCAGGCTCACAGAAGGGCAAATGGATCTGTTCTGCTCACAAAGCAGAAAAATGGTTCTAACAGATAAAGAATACATGGGTAGGCCAGTAGTCATGTACAGAAAGAAGAGTAGAACTCACCCAACTGGTGAAGGGAATCTATGGCTATGCAGCACTCCTCCTAAGGAAGCAGCCTAGCTCCAAGTGATATTCTCCTTTCAGTGGCCAGCCCTTGTATGAACCCAGACTGATTGCACTCTGGGTCCACCCCTTCTAGTCACCTGGGGAGCACAGGTGCAAACAATTTGCTTGCACTCCCTGGCCAGCCACACTCCTTTACCAGGTGCTCAATCACCACAAGCCCTGAGCAGTTCCCCTGCAGTTGAGAACAGAACATCCATATCATTAGCAATATAATGGAGGGACACACTGCTGAAACACTCCACCCATCACCTCACTGTACTCACACCGACTGTTTGGTCTTCCTCAACATTCAGTAAATGATGCTGAATGTCAGTGAGTGCCGTTTTTTCTGCATAGAGGAGTTCAATCGCACTTCTGCTCCATACACCCTTCCAAGTCAAACGTCATTCTGTCAGAATGCCCCTCTGCTGCCATCTGTCACAACAAAACATAAGGGATAGTGGTGGGAAGGTTCAGCCTCTACTGCCATCCCACCAACACCCAGCTCTGGCGTCATGGGCCAACATCATGAAATAAAAGGCACTACTTTCAGAGCAGTCCTCGTATTCTTTTAACTTTCCATTGTAAGTGGCAGAAATGTTGTTACATCTAGCACAAGGTATCAGCTTGTGCTTGACTGACAACACTGAAGCTAAAAAATAACGTTCAGGAAAAACTACATGTATTACTTTAGCATATACATCTGTCTGTACCTTAATTTCATAGGGTTTTATTGAAGCGTTTCTCTTAAAATATTCAAATTTGAAATTCAGAGTGTCTGGAAACAGTTTAAACAGGCACATTCACTGTATGTAGTCACTGAGGACCCTGTACAACAGGGGAAGCTCAAAATGCAAAACAAAAGCAGCCTTACTAAAGCCATCTGGAGGGAGAGAGGGAAAAAAAACCAAAAAAACAAAACAATACAAAACCAAACATACAAGAAAAAAAATCACAAAGACATTTCAGCCTGTATTTAGGTGTTTACTAGCTGGGGGACTACTTCCCTGTTAGAAACAAAAACAACTCCAATGTGAAGACTAGTATTCATTCAACATCAGTATACTAAATGAATACAGTACTTGGACTGTCTTTACTGAAGCAAAAAGAACGCTCAGCGTAGGACATGATGCTCTCCATGATTGTGGAGAAGTTTCAGAGGAGTCCAGGCTAGCATTCATGAATGTAAGGTCATGTACAGTGAAAGAGGAAAGCATCACATCTACTTAACTGTTGGTCAATGCCTTAACCCAGCACAGAACTTCAAATAGAATTTAGTCAATTACTAACATCAGTTTCATCACTTTAATAAAGAACAAGACACATTAAGTTTGAAAGCTTGCTTCCAAAATGGTCACTTCAAAGTGAGTTGTTACTGCTGACTGCCCTTAGCAAATAGAGAGAGTGTTTAATATTATTTTGTAGGGATGTATAACCATCAGAACACCCACAAAAGGACTAAATGTCTGGACTGTGGCCTTAATCCTTGTACTTTGGATTCAGGTGCAAATGTAGATTGATACAAAGATATTTTCTTTAAATCCCTAGTAGCAAATATCAGGGAACTTAGCATAAAAAGAAGTCTGCAAACTTTCTTCTATTGATTCTCCTGATGGAATATACATTAGTATTGCCAGATTTACAGACAGTAGGGCTAAATATTTCAAATTACTTGAGTACAAATTTAATCAACACAGGTGATGGCTATACTTGGGGAAATAAGCCTTATTTAAAATGTTAATGGCTGTAGGAGACTAAATTCCTTTCCATAGAAAAGTGGACTTGGCATACATGTGAACTGATATACATAGAACTGAGTTAGGCCTGCTTCTGTTGGGTCAAAACACAGTGGAAGGGACACATGACAAAAGAGCACCCGTTGTTCTACTATTCTAGGCTCTAGCTGAGGCAGCATGGTGTCTGGCTGCTGCAGGAGTGCTTGGAATCAGATGAAGGGACAGGATGGACCTTCGTGCTGCTTTGTTACCTATGCCACTGAAAAGGCTGGTCTGCGTATGCTACAAAAGAACTGATGACTGCAATTTTTGCTGCTCTTTTATATGGACTCATTTAGCTTTGAGAATGGTCGCAGGATGAGTTTCCAAAGAATTGGATATCTTCTTGTGTCTTTCTTCACTTTGGGAGCCACCAATGTAATATTTTACCATCTTTACACCCTCTATTAATGTAGCCTTTTCTTGCAGTCCTTTTTTTACAGTCTCTCTCTAAAGTGATCACACCACAGCCACCTTTATGAAGGACAAAGTGAAGAGCCTGCATGTTTGAAAGCAAGTGCAGGGCTTACAGCTACAGAATCCAGTCTCAGTATATAGGGATCACCCTTCCTTCACTGATGGCTGATTGCAGCACTGCCAAGAAGGGGTTATGTTAACACACATGCTGTGTAAGATATATCCAGCTTTACACTGGTTGGCTTTTTACTTGCTGGGGGGCAAACTGCTGGTGAAGGAGAGCTTTCTCTTACCTACCCTGCAGGGACTTTTTTATTTTTAAAAAGTAAGGAGCTGTTCAGGATATTTCAGACAAGCTGGCATTTGGAGATTTCTCTCTTAAGCTTCCCCATTATTTACCAAGGGACTTGTTAAAAATAAAGAGAAGAGAGATTAGATTTTTGTTTTAGGTATTTAGCTTGTCTTATCAAAGGAACCCCTCACTTCAGGATGCCTTTGTTGTTACCTTTGCCTCTTCCTGTTCCTGACATTACTGCGTGTTCTCTACCAAGGGACATCAGTATCTGAAGTGATAACTGGCAAGAAACCTGGCACACAGACAAAATCAATATCATTTCTAAGGACTAAATTGAGAGGTGGCTACCAAGGGAGCTCTCTGTTTGGAAGGAAATAAGGAAATATCTCCTTCCTCCCTGCTTCCCTGCTTCTGGAGAAAAAAAAAAAAAGTAAATTAAAAAAAAATTAAAAGCATAGCAGTTTTCTTTCAAGTAAAGGCTAAGCTAAAGAACTTATTTTTCAAATCACTGAAAAAGGAAGCAATCTGACTAAAAAAACATCAGCTTTCCAGAGCTCAATACAGCCAGCCCAGCCTGTGCCCTGCTTTAGGCGTATCATAACATTATCTTTTCTAGTCAAGATAGCATGGACAAGCTAAAATTTGACATCTTAAAATCATTCTTTACTCATATTGTCCTTTAGCTCCCATTTCTTTTATTGCTGATGCATTCATATATTCCTTTATAGAAACCTAGCTTCATTTTAATACTCATTCAATATGAAATTAGTTACATCAAATACTTCCTAACTTTTCTTGTGAAGGATAGTTAATCTTTATGTTCGCCTTGATGTAGTGGTACAGATTATTAACCTTGATCAAGAGATCCATTGCAAAAGACTGTGCTACACCAGCAACGAGCTCCAAATAAAGATCCCTACACTGTGCACATGCCTTTCTGCAACTCTGATGCAAATATAAGCTCTTAACTAGGCTGGTGTTGTGCCTTTGAAAGCAGAACTTCACTGCAGACAGATGATATCTGAGCTGGCTATGGGTCATTGAGTTCCCTGCATGTTTTGTGATACCTAAAGCAACACACTTATTTCCTAGGTCTCATGGGAGTAATATATATATGCAGCGTTCCTGAACTGAGTGGTTGCAAACTCACTTTCCATGGTAATTTGTTCTCCAAAATCATGACTTCACAAACTAATTATTTATTCTACTTTTTAGGCAAAAGGTGATTATTTTTTTCCAGAGTGCTATGAATGAGGTTTAGCAGTTTACTTTGGTGCTTCATCTTATAGAAACTCTCTGTAGGTAAAAAACACAAACAGAATGTTTAAAGGTTACAAAATAAGCTTATACACAAATAATAATTAAAAAAAAAATAAAATTAAAATAAAATTTTAATTAAAACATACAGAAAAAAATACATAGAGTTCTTTAATTTCTTTAATCAATACAAAATGACAATGCAAGGAGACTACACCCTCATACCTACCTATGAGCTAACTTCCCCTGTATCATCATGAATACAAAAACAAAAGAAGTATGCTTGCCAGTTTGACCCTTTGCCTCTCTTTTTTGAGATGCAAAACACTTACAGGGTCAAAGATGCCAGTGGTACTCCAGATCAGAAGCTTTCATTCATGTTTGAGTCTGAGCAGATGTAGATACATCCGAACCTCTGTACTTGTAAGTAGCTCTACAATAACTTTCTGAATATATTTCTGCTCAGTAGTCTTCCCAGTGCTGAGAAACACACCTAAACACAGGTTGTCATAATACAAGTCAACAGTGACTGCATCATGGGATTTGATAACAACTGTGTGGGTATTTAGCAACATCATTTGACAGGAAGAAAAAAAAAAAGGGGGGGATTTGGGGGTGAGTTAAAAAGACTGCTATCTGCTTTGCTGAGCTTTTTGTATGGAAGGAACAGTGCAAATTCAATTAATGGGCTGGAAGTTCCATGTTCATGTTTTCAAGTAGCAGAAAAGGCAAAGACCAGTGTAGCACACACGTGAACCCTTTCCCTTGCCAATATTGTTTTTTGTCCAATGAGAAGTGACAGTCAGTGGATGAAAATGACTCATGTTTTCAGTAGGGTCAATCCAAGTGGTCCAACAAGCCAAGTTAACTCAGCATGAAACCTCAACTTTTCACACAGGCAGCAGGAAAACACAGCTAGAAAAAATTAACCAGCACATCCTTATATTGACATAAACCCATCAGGAATCATCACAATAACTGCTCATGCTTATTCTGATAGCACAGCTTGCTCCAGCTCTCTTTTCATCTACCATTCTCATTGAAGTCTTTGGGCTAGTAAGAAGTCTGTTCCTTATGCTACAAAACTCCCATGCAAATTCACTGGAGAAAAGACTAAATAAAATCTAGTCCAGAAGTCAGAATGGCTTCAGCAGCTCTCAGGATCTTGTCTCATGAAAAAGGTTATATAAAACTCGCTACATAAAACTGATGGTTTGGACAGATGCTCTGCATCCCCTAGCTCATAGGTATCAGGAATTGCCAAGAATTGAACACATTTAAAAGTTTGGGACCA